TCGTAATAACAAGTAAAACCATAGGTAAACATAGTGAATATGGCTCCTATATTATATAGAAATATATACATAATATTATATATAACAATTATATATAATTATAACAAAAATATATAATAATGATATTATTATTTACTAACGTTCAGTTTATATTAATTATTTTCTTCATTTTGCTTACAGAATCTTGCCATAAGGTGACGTTTTCAATTTTAATAAAATAAAATAATAAAAATGTATAATGTGTGATGTTTAACATATTGACTATTATTTACAATAATATACAAAGTGTACCCATCGTTTATGGTAACCATAAATATTACTATAAATAATATATAAGAAAAGCAAATTCAAACTAGACAGCCATAAAATGTAATATAATTGATTTATTATTCTTAACGATATTTTCTTATAATTCTGGCTTCATCTCCCTGTTAGTCTCTCCTCTTACAAAATTTTTATATTAGTTGAGAAAGAAATCTAAAATTTCGCTCGCAAAATAAGTAAATAAATCTTAATTAAATAAAAATTATTTTAATAAAATTTTTTGCCAATAGTTCTTGCATTTATGAATTAAGAGAATAACGCCAAAAATATTTAAAATGCGGTCATTATTGTAACTAAAATAATGCCGTAAATAATAATTCTGGTAAATGAAACCCCTACGAATATAGCTACGTACGCTAAATTCAATTTATAAAAGCAATATGCTTGCTTTTCTTCCTTCTTTATTAATTAGTACAACAGTATAGTGTGAAGTGCCACTACAAATAGTAATTATAATATAATAATCAAATTTGTAGATATTAATAACTAGTATTTTCAGGTTCCTCATCTATATTCTTGGTTTTTTGTGTTTTTAACGGAATTGTTAAGATATTTTATTTTCTTTTCTATACTAGTACAATTTTCCTTGAAATTATTATTAAAAAATTTCGCCCAAATTTATGCTATATTTTGTGATAATAATAGATTCATTTCATTAAAACATAATTTATTATTCTCGAAACGTAAATTACATAGACTAAACTACTAAAGTATAGGAATCAAACCTACTAAAGTATAGGAATCAAATTGAAATTAACTTCATAGAAATCACATCAGCCTCAATTCAAATTCGAAATCAAATTGAGCCTTTACTTGGCTAAAAAAATTATGTTAAATATAATACAGTGTATATACTTAATAACCATAGTATACTTAGAGTTAGACACCTTGTCCATATATAATACTAAATACATAATAACAATACGCCCGAATTGACTTTAAAACAACAATATCCCTTTTTATTTTGATAATAAAATATTTAGAACGTAATATAAGTACATGCTTTCATGAACATAATAAATTTATTGTTATCCACCTATATACATACATACATATATGCACACATAAGTAATTGAAACTATTTTATTAATACATACATACATACATTTTGTTTTAAATCAAATAAAACAAAAATAAAAATATTTTATTCGTACTTTTTCAATTTTACAATGTATGATAGTAAGTATTTATGTCAATATTGGAATAAAACTATGCCAGGGACGAGATTCTTTATTAGTTCATTGGTTTTTAATATTTCATTGCTTTACATATATGTACGTATAATATAAAATTATATTATTGTATTGTAGGTCTTCAAGTTTGTTTAAAAATATTTTTAATAAAATTTTTGAAACAAATAAAATTCATTAATATTAAAATGACATTTGTGACAATTTCATTTTGAAAATTAAAATTTATTTTTAAAATAATATTGTATGTTAACATTATAATTCACTCATATTTATAAAGTATGTCATATATTTATATAATATAATTAAATTGCGTAAATGCCTAACATAACATTTAAGAACGCAACAATAAAATTATTGAAATTTTGAATATTTGCAAAATTTTTTTTATTTAAAATTCCTCAGCATATTTTCAATATTTAACACAAAATATTTAAGTATTTTAAATTAATACAAAACTTTAGATTAGACTTATTATAAATTTAGATTGTAGATTATAGAATTTATAATGAACATTGAATCGAAAATATTTTTTTATATATTTCATATTCTAGCTCAAATATTTGTGTTAATATTCTAGCACAAATTTTCTCTGGAACAATCTTAAATTTTTCGATACTACCCTCTTTAAAATAAAACCTTAAAACCTCCTTAATATATATTTGATATCTGAATGGAAGTCATAACAGTAAATAATATTTTATGTAAGAAAATTAACCACATAATACACAATTCGGGATTGAAGTAACTAAGAGTTGTTGAATATTATGGTCCTGCAATTAAATAATTCATAAGGTAGAGAATAAACTTTAAATATCTGTTATATTTTACTAAAAACAAAATTTCATGAGCTTTAAAATGGCTCCACTTAATTTGTATTATACACTAAAACTAGATTCAAGATATTTTAAATTAAAACGGTGGCTGAATTAGTGAAAATGTATAAGCTTTTAAAATGTTATTCGTTTCGATTTATGCCATCAATATATAACTAGAGAATCATCGTCATGTTTCTCCATATTATTTTTTCATACTTTTAACTTTTTCGTAACAAATTTTTAACTGAAACTTCTTCAAAATAATCTTACCAAATAGAGTATACAAACTCGTTTATGATCACCATCCTTGCAATAATCTCTTAAATTAAAGCTAAGCAATAACTGAAATTCGAATAATTTGTATTAAACCTATTAAACCCTAGAATAAAATTCAGAAAACGTCACTGATTAATCATATGTTCATAATGTCCTTTTCTCTTTTCTTTGCTTACAACATATATGTATATGAAATTGTTGTAGTTGGTGATAAAATTGTTTTTAATGTCGCAGATATAAAGAAAAAATACAAATATAAAAATGTTTTTTTTTTATTATTGTTATTATTTTTATACATGGTTTTTCTCAATTATTTTTTATTTTATTCTCATTTTATTGCAAAAAAATTTTTTGTTTTATTCTTTTTATTGTTTATTTTATCACCCTGTTGCTTAACTATATAAATTTTTTTCAATTGTATATTTTGTATTATACAAGTATAATAGTTTCTGATGCCTTTCTGTATTTTCATTATATATTATGTATTTATATATATATATATAATTGACATTTTGATATACCTTACGGTAATATGATTTTTCATAAGTGCTTCCAATGTATACAACAATAAATTATATATGAATGTTTATTTACAGTAAAAATCTTATAAATTGCATATTTAGGTGCGCCTAGAATTATATATTTTTTGCCGTCATACTGTAGATTGTAAACGCGGGGTAGCAATGCACTTATTTTGCCCCCACTGAGTTCGAAGCGTGGCGCTGTAGCACCCGCTCGAGAATCACTGCCCTGAGATGCTCGAGCAACTTTTAGGGCGCGGAGGACCACATTTCCGCCGCCGTTATGGTACAATCCACCAGTACTTCCCTTCCGGCGCGGGCGAGAGCTGCACACCCCCCACAGAGAATCCTCACCTGATTCTTGCCCATTCGCGTAATTTTCATAAATATCGGCATATGTAATTATAGGCAAAATTTTAAAGGACTGAAGTTTTCAGTGAAAATGTTTTTGCAGGGATTTGACGTTATTTAATAATGATAAATTTTCTGCCTCAACCAGAATGTAGTTTTGACCGTTTATACGGGTATTTTACTCTTTTACTGTACTTCATTTTTTATTCTTTTGTGAATTTTAATATTGTCTCAATCTACTTTCAAATCGATTTTAGGTGATTGCTAACCAAAATTTTTAACTAGAATTCTGTTCAAAAAAACAAATTGCAAAATCAGCTCTATTCTTCTATTTTCATTGCTCTATTCCCTGATTACTTTAGAAAATTTGTTATAAGGTTTGAAGTAGGAATACAGTTCTCATATAATTATTGTAGAATTTCTTATAGTACCCCTTTCCGAATACCTCCCTTCCGAAGTTCTTATATAGTACTTCTGAATATAATAATGACTTCCTTCTGGAATGAAAAATTCTCATTTGATTTGAAAATCCTTTTAATTAAATTTCCCGATATTTTACTGTATTTGCAACATATAAATAAAACAAAATTTTTAAAATCCGTGGTCTAATGTGGCCAAAAAAATAAGAAAAGTCAAAATAACAAAACAACAAAATTAAAAAGTGCAAAGAAGAAAATCTTTTATTTTTCTTTTATTTAATTTTTCATTTTTTTTTCAATTTTTCACTTTTTTCTTTTTGTTTCTCTCCTTTAGCATATTATAAAAAAAAAAATTCAGATTTTTAGTACTTCAGAAACATTCAGCACGTATAGAAAACGGTTCGGGCTAATTATTCCCATTATTATTTTGTACTTGTGATCTTTCAAATAAAAAAAAAATTAAAAATAAAGAACAAAAACAAAACAAAAATAATAAAACAAAATTAAATTTTGTTTTTCACCTTTTTCTCCTATACACTGTACTTATTTCGTTTCTATTTTTTTATAAAAAAAAAAAATAAAAAAAAAAAGTAGAATAATTTGCTTTTTTTTTTGCTTTTTCTCCGAAGATAAATAAAAAATATAAAAGAAAATTTTCAGTGCCGTGATAAAAGAAAAAAAAAAAGAAAAAGCAAAAAAAATACGAAAATTTTTCACCAATTCAAGTAAAAGTGAAAGAAAAAATAAAAAAAAAATAAAAAAAAAGAAAATTTTTTTAATTCGTTTTTTGTCATTTTTTTTTTGTTTTTTATTATTTTTAGGGAAATTTTTACTTTATTATTGTTTTTCTTTTTTTAACTGAAATCTGCTCATTCCCATCCCGGCTACTGAAAGTGTAAAAAGAAGTTTTATTTTTTTTTTGCCCTTCTTATTGTTATTTTTCATTTTTAGTGTGTTTTATTATTTATTTTTCTTTTTCATTGTAAAGAAAAATTCGAAAATCCTAATTAATTTTATATTCGAAATAAATAAAAAAAAAATCATAAAAAAAAATTAAAAAAAATTAAGAAAATTTAGTAATTTCCTTTGAAATTTCTTTAGAAAAAAATTAAAAAAAAAAAAATTACAAATAAAAAAAATATTTTAATATTTTATAAAAATAAGAGTGCTAAAAAAAATAATTTCAATTTAAAAAGGAAGGAAGAAAAATAATTGCAATTGCAAAATAAAAATTGCAAAATAAAAACGAAACACAACATAAAAAAAAATATAAAAAATGAGCCCTAAATTACATGAATTTGTTGTTATACTTCAACGTGATGGCAATGTACCATGGGGTATACGCCTTGTAGGCGGTAGTGATTTAGATACACCATTAATAATTACAAAGGTACGTTTTAAATACAGCTAAAAATTTACACAGCTCTCATTTTCTTTGAAAAATTCATGAATTTTAAGAATATCGAAAATATTCCGATAATCTTTAATATTAAACCTTAATAGTTGGGGTCATATTTTTTTGGTATTTATTATTTATTCTTTATGACTTACTAAATAAAAAATTTTGAGAATTTGTGAAATTTTGTATTGCAAAATCGAAAATCAAAGAAAAAAATTAAATTATTACAAAACCTTTTTTTTATTATGCAAGGAAAAATGCAAAAATAAAATTAAAACAAAAACTAGAAACAGAAAAAATACAAAATAAAAATAAAATTTTAATCGTATTATGCTTTAATTTAAAAACAAGAGAAAAAAAAATAGAAAATTCACTTAACAAAAAAAAAATTTTTGTAGATGTTTTTTTTTTTTTTAAGTGAAATTTTTGTATTTTTAAAAACAAAAAAAAACTTTTATTTCATTTCTTGATTTTGTTATACTTTTATTTATTAATTAATTTATATTTTATGTTGTTAATGGAATAGTTTCTGTTTAATATATACTTGTTTCTCAGACCCGAAATGATAATATTTGTATAACAATAAGAATCATGAACAATTCCCTAAAAACAAATATAATTATATAGATTCTTAAACACCTGGTTCATATTATATTCTTTAATATCTATAAATTTTATCAATAATGTATTTTAAGCAATCGATTTCAAAATAATCACCTAATGAGTGTCTTAAAACATCAAGATAATTTAATTCTGAAAAAAAAATAAAGAGAAATTTTCTAATAGCTCAATTTCAATGAAAATTTATAAAAATACAATAGAAATTCTTGAATATTATTTATTCTTAAAAAGCATCATATTATCAATTTTAATAAGAATATCTAAAATAATACAAAAATATTCCAATTTATAATGACAAAATGATTTTAATTTTCAAGACAAGCTCAATCGCAATATATTTATGATTGAAAAGTTATTGACAAACGGGTAACCCTAATGATAATTTCGTGATCTCTGGATCAATAAGAATTTGTATGACAAACAATAACGTTCATGAATTTCATAAAGTAAATTTATTTAACTTCGTTTCTAAATATAGAATTTATTTACCTTATTTATTATGAATTAAGAGTCTCATATTTAGAAGAATATTAAAATTTTTTTTAAAGAAAGTAAAATATTTTTATCGTAATAGTAAGTCTAATATAAGGTTACGTTAGGTTCTTTATGATACCACCGGAACTCTCCTTTCCCACTTCCTCATTCAAATTAGTTCGAACTTCCCAAAAAATCGGCTGATATTCTTAACATTTATATTCGTTAAGCCTCATATAAACTTAATTTTAAAAATTTAGTAATAAAGGTTTTTGGTAATATTGTTTTAAAATATTCGATATGTGCACATAAACTAAAAAAGAAATTAATTTTTCTCTTTCTTTCTTATTATGAAAATTTCTATAAAAAACAGTGGCGCCATTTTAAAATTACATATAATATTTTTGTAAGTTTTTCTTATTGGAATTATTTTATTATATTAAAAAATTATTAAAATTTTTAGTATCAGAACTAAAATACTCTTAAAGAAATTTAAAATTTAAAGAACGTTTCTTTACTGGGGTCATTTACACTATTGATATTTAAGTGTAAATGAACCCAATTGAAATAATAATATTATAATGTCGATGACTTTAGAGAGATAATTTTAAATTTTTATAATTTAACTTCCTTTTTACAAATAGTTATAATTAATTCCAAGATCAAATGAAATTTCATTACGCCAATAACCCTACACCAATATATACTTAATACGTAAAAGTTTTACATGCCTTATCAAATATATCGATCACATCAACTATAATCTAAAATATTGCAAGAATATTTTGTGTTTCCTTCACATATCAGGAAACTAAAAACAATATATATACGATAAAAACCCAAAAAAAAAAAAAAATTCCGATTTTTTTGTCTTACTACTTTTTTTCTTTTTTTGTTTTCATGAAAAACAGAGGCATTAGAGCAATATTCATCCCAGACTTATTCATCATTTTCTGAATCATTTAAATGCAAAAAATATATTAAAAAAATTTAGCCAACACACTTGAAAACTACATTAAAGAAACAAATTTATGTTTAACGTACATGAGAAAAGAAATCGGGTAAAAAGACAAAAAAAAACAGAATTAAGAAATTGGTTGAAAATTTTACTATAAAAATATTTAATTATGTATGCATACAATACACATGTATATGCACATATACTCAAACACACATTCTAACTTATTTTATTATGTACAAAGTATATAGAGAGAAACAAGCATCTATTTAAAATATCTACACATATAATCGTAATCTGAGATATTTAGGACAAGTGCATTCTATTATAAAGTGCACCTTAATAGTTTTGATATACAAATATGCGCGTGTATATAGCATATAAATGTGTGGTTCTATATATGTATCTTTAATGGGCACTTTATATATATAGTAATGAAAAAAAAATTAATTTGTTACTTTTCGAATTACTTTTGCATTTGAAAACTATAGTAAACTCATGTGATTAAATTCGAATTTCAATTTTATTCCAAATTGTATAAGAAAAAATAAAAAAAAATAAATCGAAAATTCAAAAATCTATTTTAAATAATTCGAACACTAAATTTTAATGACTTTAATTTTTATGGGCATTGATTTTTAGTATTTTTGTTTTCCTATAAATAAAAAATAATAATAAAGTAAAAAGAAAAGAAAAATATGTCTAGTAATTTATGTTTAAAAATAAATTTTTTTATGAAAAATAAATAGGAAAGAATTATTTTGGTCCAAAAATTATGAAAGCCATGCGTTTTTCTACTGATCGAATTGAGTACAATAAAGAAGGTATCAAATTAGTACAAATTTCGCCTGCTGAGTTTTCCAATGAAATCAATTACTCTGTAATAGCCGAACATAATTAAATTATTCTTAGCGGGATGTAAAACTGATCGGTCGGATCGGTCTCCACACTCATTCATCTTAATTTCAGCTTTAAATGAGCAAATTGTTTTTAATTGAGTTTTAGGAGTTTAATGTGCCAATGAAACGAATTGATCAATTTTAGGGTATTCCAGATTATTTGAGCACCATTACTCTTTATTCTGAATTTATTTTACGTTTTCAACAATTTTCCAGAAAATAATTGATGTGCTCAAAATTTTATATATTATAAACCTTGGCTAACATTTTACAATAAAATACATACTAATATAAAAGCAATTATAGCAAAAATAGACAATAAATGTCAAATATCTGCAATATTAAATATTGAGAAAAAACTATGGTAGGCTAGTCATTGCCCAGTTAACTCAACCCGACTTGTGATTTTACAATTACCAATTTACATTTTTTCCAATATATACAAGGAAAAAATCGGCCAATTTTCTTGTAATTTCAACTCCAATTGTCAAAACTAATAAATTTTTCGAAAATTTGACATATCGAAACCTGAACTTTCACAACCAGGCGGCGATTCTTTTGGACGCATTTTGTCAAACTACCAGAACTGAATTAATTGGAATTCCTGGAACATTATTCAAGAAATTAATTAAAATGGAACATTATTCTAGAAATAATGCGGTCGGCTATGTGCTGTTCATATCAGCTTTTTTCAAAACATTTTCTATATTCTTATATTTTCTTATATTTTCTATATTCGAGTCATATGAAACGCATAAATGAATAAGTTCTTGTTAATTAATTTGAGCAAATGTTCAAAAAAAAAAAATTTTTTTTTTTTTTAATATTTTCAAATAATTAAAAAAAAAAAATTTATAAGAAAATTATAAAAAAAATTTTAAATTTCATCAAAATATCAAAATAAATTCTGATTCAATTTTCTTTAATTTCATTTTATTCACTCAATTTCATTCATTTTATATTATATGCTATGCGATAGTGCCATCATGATTTAATGTTGCAACTCAATTATGCAAGTAAAATATGTATAAAGTGTTTCCGTTACGACAATAAAATTTACGATATAAAAATTTTTGATTATTTGAAGTCCGAAAAAAATCAATTAATTTAAATGTGCTAATTAATTATTAATTGAATGCATTTTCAATTGCGACAATATTTTATAGCCTATAATCCAAGCACGAATTTTCATCTGCTGGATGGTCTTCTAAGCAATGTTTAAAGAGAAAATTTGTTATTAACGTAAGATTTAAAGGTGTAAAATCTGCTTTTGACCTTCAAGTTAAAAGTTTAGAATAATACTTTTTTCAATGGACAAACTTTGGACTACCATCCTTATGAGCCATTTTTGATCATTATGAGCAAAGAAATCTTTTGAAGAAATAATATAATCGCCGTCTTTGGCACTCAAAACATGATTTGTAACAATCAAAGCAATATAAGGTCTTTTGGGTGTTATGGCCTCTGATATACACAAGATTATTAAGCAATTGTACCCAGCTCCCCATTTGATTAATATCCAATTATAGAAAAATTTAGTCCGTAAGAACTAAATGTGAAGAATTCAAGAAAAAACCAAAATCTATCAATTCTGAATAATAACCCCATTCATTACAATTTAATTATATTTATCGCACTGACTTACAACCTATTTCTAATTCTAAAGATGAACAACCTGTATACAATAAATACAAAGTATATTTAGAAAATAAAATTGCCAAATTTATTGATTTATTTCTATTTTTCTTTAATGTCTATAGAAAATTTTCTAAATTTTGATTGAAATTGAAAAATACAAACTCCTGTTGTGATATAAACAAGTTTTTTTTTTTCTTTTATTGTGAATCTATTAAATAATTTTTTATTTATTTTGATAATTTTCCTATAATAATTCAATTCTTATTTCTTTGAAGTACTTTAATGCTACTTTATGCATATTAAAAATGAAAAATATACATGAAAAAATAAAAATTGATACAGATGGAAATTTTTATTTAAGACAGGAAGTTGAAACTTTTAATTATTATTCTATTATAAAG